CTATTACTTCAAAATCCTGTACTTTTTATTTTTCTACCCTTTTTTCGGAAATTTACCCTATTTTGGCGATTGACTTACCTTTCTTCCTTCACCCCTTTTCTCAAAAACAAATACTATATTGTTCATTGACCAAATATGTGAGTTATCGAAATTATTCGCGAATGAAGAAATCGGAGGAGGAGAAGAAAGAGGAAGAAAAAGAAAAAAGAAGGAACTGATCAGAATTGGAAACGGATAAATGGAAGGAACATCGTCTATCGACAGATATCGCCGATGAAAGTGCATTTGAGCGATTCGACACGACAGCAGAAAGAATGGAAGATACGGAGGGGAGTGATAAACTACGAATTCCACTGGGACGGGAACCAGCTGGCTCGAATGGTTCCCTGTCTTGGAATAACTTACTCCTACACAGCTCTTTATAGCAGTGGCTATTCTTAGGCATAGAACTAGTAAGACATACTTAACCGGAGCCTTCATGAAGACTACAAATCAATAAAAATGTAAATAATATATATAAATATTCGTCATGAACTGGGGGCTTCTCCACAGCCATTTATTCAACACTCCTTAACAACTGACTGCTATACCAGTAATCAAAGGAGTCAATCATGATCCTCGTCATCATCATCATCCCTTGGGATTGTTGGAAATTACCCCTTTTTCAGCCCCGGCCCCAAATTTTTCTCTCTTTTTTCACCCTTTTTTGGTTTAGCCCACTTTGTGGATGCACCATGAATAAATAAACAAAACGGTATAATACTCAGAAATAAGTAAATAAATAAGATCATAGAGTATATTGATTGATTCGGTGGTTGTAACCGGAAAGAGTTAACACCAATGGGTGCAATGAAATTGACCGCGGTCGAAAAGTGAAAGTGTAGATGGTAAATGGCCCGTGAATAATTGGATGACCCGATGAAATCGTAGCGATTTCAAAAAAAGCATTAGGCTACTATCCTGGCCAACTATACGAGGGAGTTGGACGAGTTGCAACGGAAGCGAACACCTAGGGGTTCTCGCAGTTTGGAGCACGTTCCCAAGGGGTTTGGAAGGCACTGGCGGTCCATACAAGCATCCATGCTGGACCCGATCTTTGGACTATAAGTTTGCTTGTGCACCCTTCGCCCCATACCCGGACTTTACCCAGGTCGAATGACAAAGCGGCTCGAATTACTCATTTCTACAGCAATAACAGGCGGTAGTAGGGGGAGAGACGGCAAACGACGGAGTCGTTCCTTGCTATAAAAAATATTTACTTTTTTTTGAGGTTTAAAAACCTGGACCTCAACATAGTTTGCTGACAGGGTCCATCCCGAACCTTTTTATCCCCCAAATGAACTGGTACATTAAAAGAACAGGGAGGGGACAAAGTAGTAAAATGATGTGATGGCTGTAAGTGAGAGCGGTGTTCGATGAGAGTTTGACGCGCGTCGACAACAACGACGACGATGATGGCCTTGGCTGACGAAAATCGAAGACGAAAAAGACGTTGGCGCTAGCTGGCACATTGGCTCCGTTAAGAACTGAGGACGATTCACCACATACAGTAACCGCCCACCCACCCAAGAGACTAGTCATTGCCCGGGAACCTGCATGAAGCGCTCTTGATGAGAGACCGCTTCATCAAGTGGGAGGGATGGCGGGAGAAGAGTGGAACGGGAGTATAGCTCACGATATGCTTATAGTAAGTCCAAAGTATACGACCAAGGATGGAGGCAATTTTATGTTTCTAAAAATTTTACGTTTCACTTTCCATATATAAACATCACTCGTGATGAGGGTCCAATTTACTGCTCCTAGTCATGATTAACAATACTAATTGATACTAAGAGATGTATGTGTCAACAAATGGAAGGATCCAGCTGATTTTGAATTTTTCAACCGATAAGGGGTTTATCAAACTTCCCACATTGGCGCGTTTATGTCGGGAATCAAACTACAAAAAGAAAAACTGCATTCGTAGACAAATCTCGCTACAGCACTTGGACAAGGCTGTGGCTAGGAGTGAGTAAACCCTTTGAAAAGTCTTGATTTCTTTAGCCAACTTGTATTGGCGGTCACAGTTTACGATGAGAATGCTATCATAGAAAAGTTGAATTGGGGACGAGGACGAGCGTATTGACCCACAACGCAAATCCCCGTCTTAACGTTCGCCGTTGTGCACGTGGGGGCGCCCACGACGGCTAATGATAAGTAATCTCTGGTGTTTAGCGGGCTCTATTTCCGTTTCTTCTACCTAGTAACGTGAGAGTGTGTAATGGTATAGAAAGGACTCTTTCTGCTAATTCAGTTAGACATCTCAAAGAAGCGTTGAAAAAAAGAATTCATGAAATATCATTCAGAATCTTGTTACAGTGGCCTGCACGACGAGTCTGATAATCATTACTCTACCGCGGAGGCTTAATTGGCCGGGCGAATATCGATCAGGGATTCGATCGTCGGACTATGCGTCCGTTATAGCGTCCCCTTTGTCACTACTCCACATCCCGTTATTAGAAATAGAAAAAAGGAAAGCTAAGGTACAGTGTTGAGCCAGTTCATTGTTTTATTCGCCATCACAAATCTTCATGGCGCTACCTACATTTATAATAGCCCAAAAACATCATTTTGAGCTGCGCAGTTATACAAAGACTAGAAGATCTCTAACAAAATCTTTAAGACCATCTATCACGAACAACGCCATTCTAAATTACCACAATCAGAAAGCAAATAATTTATAATGAAGGACTTGATGAACACACGAAAGTGCTGCTTACGCTATGAAAGATACTCTCACATCCAAATTTAAAGATATTCTATGTTAAAGGTAATAGTTATCAAAGACTTATGATAAACCATTATGACGAATCAAAATGCAAGGCTCTTAAAATTCGATGAACATTTACGTACATTCAATTTTACCTGCGATAAACTAAATCATAATGACCAGGCCGATAGAGCAGAGTTATCCGAGGTGTTTCAGTACGGTCAGGAGGGAAGTCGTAATATAAACCACCGTTTGGAGCAGCATTCTGGTCCATGTACTGCACACGAATGCTCTGATCTATAACAAAAAATCAATAGCACATTATAAATAGAAGATAATCTTTGATTATAAAAGAGAGGCGTAACGAGTTATTCAGAAGAAAGAATGTTTACATAATGACTGCTCGTAGTCTGACACAGAAAAACTTCTCTCAAAAAAGAACTAGTTTGACTGCGTCAAACAAGCACAAGTGTGAAAAATTTACANAAGCCAAAGGTGTGATTTATTTTGCAACCCATCTTGTTAGAAACGAAATTCTCTAACAATTCCTTTGCATAGGGAGGGTTGTTCGAACCAGTAACGCTTAATGATGTCAATTAATGCTGACCAAACGAACGTTAGGAGTCATCGGTGCTCGCCGGGGAAATAATATCCAAGCACGCCCTCTACGTATATAGCCAAGTCAATCTGCCTTTTAAATTTTATTTTGTCTTGTCAGCCCATCATATCATATCTAATATGCCATCTCATTCCACGCAGCTGCTATCTGAATAAATTATAACTATAATATGAGGTAAAATAGTGACTCTAGATAATCTAAAAAAAACATACTTTGAATAAACACCGCACCATTCCTCAAGAAAAATGGAATAAGTTTCTTGAAAAAGAACCAAAATAAACGCAGTCAACGATATCCGGAATAACTAAACTGACCTATGGCGTTAACGAGTCCTGTGACAGCAAGGTGATCGGCATCCTTCCACATTGATTCAATTTCTGTTGTACAATAATCAGAAAGACTACTATCCTCTATGAATGGAGCATACTCCTCCGAGTGCTCTTTCAAGAATCCAGCAGTTATCAATCTAAAAAAAACTCATTCGTATTCTGTACGCATAATGAAATTACACCAAAAAGTAGAAAAATACTTATAAGTGCTGGTCAAATTCAGAATTTTCTTGCTCATTTCGACCGGCTATTTGAATAAAAACTACAAAAACAGGATGCGTGCCTCTTTATAACCCGCTTTCTTCTCTGAGCCACTTTCAGCTCTTCTGGTTTTCCTGTCATCGTGGCAGCAAATCATTATGACGTCTTATTGTATCAGACTTGATGAAGGACAGAGGTACGTGGGGCTACATTATAGAGAAAGTGATGTGGAATGAATGAGATCATGCTCAAATTACGAAACTAGCCCCAAATGAGCTAATGAAAATCTCGTAGATGCTTAAATCGTACGAATTCTTATCATGAACATTTAATCTTATTATCTTGAGGGAATCCCTTTGCCAAAGTATGAAGAGACGGTTCCAGTCAACTGCTTTTGAATCGAAAGAAAAAAACCTGTTTAAACAGTGAATTCCATCTCCTTATCACCACTTTCCGAATGGAGATTGAAAAGTAAAAATGTAAACAGTATGACTAAGTGTTTCAAGTGCCGCGATAGACAGGGTTAAGTGGAACCGTGAAAAAAAAGTACCTCAAAAATATTATGAGGTAGTTAGCTTCGCCGTCATCGTTTAAATCTTCAAAAATCTTTTTTCTGTCCGCCTGATGGCTCCATATTGGTGTCATCCATTTGTAAAACTGAAACTTACCGTTATAGAAATGCAGAGGAAAAACGAAAAGAACGTCGGTCAAATATAACGCGGGTAAATCCACGAACCACTTCGCAAAAGTCAGTAGTTGTAAAGTCAGGGTATCCAAGTTTGATCAGGCGCTCTTGCCATCCGCGGCATATCCTTTCGAACCTGAACTTTAACAACGGTGTCAAGAAGTTCACCCATACTCCGAACATATTTAGAACATGAACAGGCCCGAAGACCTCACCTTGCGCACTCCTCCCGATCATTGAGCATTAATTCGATTTGTGCAACAAGAACTGCTCGATAGAAGCAATTTCCATCCCGCCGTATGAGACGGATGTCAGAGTAGGTTCCCAGCAGATCCTAAAGTCATTGCCAATGATAATGTGCAGTATACCTATTGGAAAAAGTAGCATCACCAGCACTACCACCAAGCCGCATAATCATTCAATTTGAAATTTCAAAAATAACTCGAGTAAGTGCATTACTCAAAAATTAAAAATTCCGATAGACTGAGAGATGCGCTTTTCAACAAAATACTAAAATATATTACCTTAGCTTTTGTATAGTACTCAGCACTTTCAACCGGGTCGTACTCCATAACCACTACTTCGAACGGTACTCGATCTCCAACTAATGGTGATTGTTTTTGCTATAAAACACAAGTATCAAATAAAAAAANTCGAATAGACTACCTCTTGCTCGATTTGATTGAGCTGTGCCTCTGTTAATTCATTTTGCCTCTGAACGTCATCCACCGTTTTATTCATAGGATCTAAAATGGGTATGGAAAAAAGTAACATGCTGACTCAAACAATACTGCAACACTGACTCATACTTCTTTGTTAACTATTTTTCATGGAATCAAAGAATATCATACTCATGAAACTGAAACGCAATTAGATCCGAGATCCAGAAGCTCACTAACACCAGACGATCGTTATGCAATTGCCTATGAGAACCTATGAATGCAAGCAAATCGAAGTTCATTTGGCTTCATATTGGAACCTTCAAACCAGCAAAACTGTGCACTTTAAACCTTCATTAGAAGCTATCAATCAACTGCTCATGTGTGTAATAGATTAAGAAATTCAAATCGCCAACGGACGAAATTAGATAGCGCAAAAGATCGCTATAATTTTAAGAAGCAGCTCTTGGACCTTCTTCCTTTACAAAGTTGAAGGAAGTCTTGGAAATCGACAAAAGAAAAGTAAAAACACCTAGCTGTTTCAAAGGAAGTACCTGAAACCTGAACGAACGAGTCCTTCACTTTTGGATCAGCTACCTCAGCAGGTTCTGAATTGGATACAGCCTCAACGCCAGTCATAGTTCTGTGAGATTTATGATTCCTTCAATAGTAGCGATTGTCCGGGAAACATACACGTCTCATTGAACGTACAATGAACGAAACGAGAATTTAATTAGGAGAACCCCTTAAAAACTCCCTTGAAACGCGGTTCCAAGTAAATATGTAGAAAGCACAGAGTAAAAGTACAACTTGGGTAACAGGTGCGACGAGTACCCGAACGGTGTTTCTAATCGGACAGGACAATTGTCAGCAGTTTTCAGGACATCTTAAGTGTAGAAAAAATATATAATTGATAAGTCCTACATGTACGCATTCATTTTCGTACTCGAAAAAAGTTTCGTAGGCTGCAGGTACATTGGATAGAGAAAATCGCCTTAACCTTGAGTAAAGAATTTTAGAAAACCTTATTATCGTCAAAAAAAAAATCCAAGAAAACACTTTTATGTGGAAAAACCGAGGTAAGAAACAAGCGCCTCTACGCTTCATTGCGTGCTTACCTTCTTAAAACTACTAGCACTGAAAACCTAATTTGGTCTCATGACTCGACTTTCGAAATTACACCCAACAGCACCAGGTCGCTAGTTATTTGTTCATTCCATTAAAATTGTGAAGGAGCGGGCCATTAGGTTCTCATAGATATCACTCAAAACACTTCTAAAACAATGTAAAAGATGAATTTCAACACCGCCATGGATTGTCTAGTGATGAGCAAATAATTTCTGGAGTCGTCGAATGAGTGATGTTCGGGGCATCACGTCTCAACCTTTATATTTGACGCTACTTACTGCACTGTTCATTTGTCTGATGGGATTGTTCGGTGCATGCCTGTGGGGTGATTTATCATTGCATTTATTTGATAATTAGTCCTAATAATAGCTGAACCAGTAGCGAACTGTGGGATGCTTTGACGTTCCCCATATCAACTTTAAACGGTAGCAATCTTATCATTAGCATCTGGGAGGCATCTGGGGTTCACTCGACTACTTGGGCGCCAATGCGAAGCGTTAGTAGAGGTCAGACTTCGGACTTGCAGCGACTGACTCAACTTCTGAGAAAAAAAGTTCTGTGAAGCGCTGGGAAGCTGAGGGGCGTGAGGGAGGAGCTATTAGTCATGAATATAAACCGTAAGAAAAACTGTTTGAGGAGAGTGTGACGTAGAATGCCAAGAACTTAGGTGAGGTTTTCGGAGTGCCTTTGAGGTGATGGTGAAATGTGTCATATGGCTCATTATCGACGTTGAGATTGTCCTTGATTCCTCACCCGACACTCATTACCATACAGTGCGGATAAATGAGGAGGGAGCGGAACGTCAATTCGTCTATTTATGTTGGCATGTACTGCCGAGCGATAACAAAGTAATGGTAGCAGCTACCTGAAAGCATGACGAAGCGGACGAGTTGTCTTGTGTAAAAAGTGCGGACCTGAGGCAGGTACTCGCCATGCCCACAGTCTACTTGCTAGTTGACCCTTGAGATAACGATGAAACATTTCTATTAGAGCAAGTTTTCATCGCTGCTGGACCTTCCGACAGTATGCTTTCAACTGGATTACTTACAGCTGAAATTCGTTGTTAGAAGTCAGGCGTCAGCTTAGAAGGGCGAGTTATGCGGTGCCGGGGGGAAGGGCGAAGTGGGTGATTGGGTGAAGTGCACAAACCCAGCATTGCGCGCCCTATAAAATAGGTTCCAGAAGTTTTGCCGTAGGAGCAGGTCCATTCCTTTTCGTGGGGACTCCGGCACAGTAAGATAGAAAGACACCTACCAGGCTGACAGAAAATTATGACAGCAATAAAAGATGCTCACCAGCGAAAGCTGAGCTCGCTTTCCATCCCGCAAGACAACGAAATCTAACCGACGTGGGTTATTGATGCTTCCGGTTTATGGTTTCTCCATAATTGGTATGTACATAAGTTCTTGCTCATGTGGGAGCTGAGGGCAGCTGTGTAAGCATTAGAATCAATGCAGGGTAAATCCAAACAAAGTCGGGAATTCCAAATAAGATGGGAAGTTTTATAAAGCGAGAGCGGACGCCTGAAACTTCCAATTCCTGACTGCATCAGGGCGCTATTCACACTTCACCCAACGAAGTAATCGAGAGCTCGAGAATCTGCAAGCGTGCTCCACTGACTCCCTGACCCTACTCTCCTTCAGCTGCTCCTGTCGCTGGAAATCTAAATTATTATCGGGATTTCTCGAAGTATGAACACCTGCACATTGAAGACGAATTGCGTTTCTTACTCGCGTGGTACGGTATACATTTAGGCTGTGATACGGTATCGGTGCTGGTCCGTGATTACAGACCGTAACGGTGATGCCTGTTTTGGCAATTAAACAAACAGTCCCCATCATTATTGTTAACATTTTTGCCCCTGATAAGGCCCATTCGAACCTCGTTCATAAAATTTCACGGTAGAGACATTTTAGAGTTGTGATCTCAAGCGTCAAAAACATTGCTTCTGCAAAAATTATTTCGTTTTCTTTGTATTTCTGCATGTTTAGGGACTATCGGTCAATTGTTGTTTCATCGGTGAATCATCCGAGGGGGTAGAGGGGGACTGGTCAGTTGTTTACGCTGAAATACATGTAAGAGGACTACAGTTTCCAGTGAAAGGGGGTTCAAACTGGTTCGGCGATGCGCTACTGTCTGTGGGTGGCTTCCATTGCGCAGCTGTGTTTATTCCTTAGCCGCGAGAGAAATCGATTGTGTTCCGGTTCGTTTTCTTCTCCGAATGGACGTCTGATGCAATCAGTCGTGTTCCTTTTTATTCGTCCTCATATTCCATCTATTTTTATCTATTGTTGTTTTAACATTTGGCTAATGAAATACATTGTTCATATAAACTATATCCTGGTACGGGACTTCAGAGCGCAACTTCATTCCTAACGTATTCTCCCCATGTCCAGTAGTACGCATTTGGTACATGTGTTGAATTACGAATTTTCACGACCAGTAGTTATGTAATTACGGTAAGAATTTAAGGTGTGCCATAGATATCGAGAAAAAGTGCTATTGTACAGGGGTAAGGTACTTCATCACTTCATCTATCAGCTATTAACTTTGCTTCTCGCTTCAGTATCAACGGCAAACGGCAACTCTTTTGATGTCAGTGACAATGGATCACTTTTACACTCCTTTGATAAGAATCTGTGGTTTGTAGTCTCGTGACCGTACAGTTACTTCTTGTTTTTGATCACTTTTGTTTCAGTATTTTTTTCAATATTAGTCAAATCGGTTACTGTAACGATATTAGGTTGACAGCTAGTTTTTCTGAGTACTTCAAATGGAAAGCTTGAAGATCAACTAACACTTTTTCAGAGTGGTTTTTATATGTAGAACAGATACCTGAGTATTTGATGGCTAATATGGTAATGAACAAAAATTCCTTTCCATAAAAAACTATATTTCATTAAAATATAACTATGGGGCGAATACAAGTTCAGTTATCATGCATATTGTAGTCGATTTGATTTTTTGAGCTTATTTTAGTGGATTTTTATATTCCATGTTTGTGNGTAATGAACAAAAATTCCTTTCCATAAAAAAACTATATTTCATTAAAATATATCTATGGGGCCTAAGGCTAATATAAGTTCAGTTATCATGCATATTGTAGTCGATTTAATTTTTTGAGCTTATTTTAGTGGATTTTTATATTCCATGTTTGTGCTTTTTCTAATTTTGCATGAATTTATACGATGCTTTAAGTTTTATGGCTTATTCACCTTTCACAAGACCTTCTCAAGTGAAGCCTGTTTTTGAACCATTTTGTGTTCAGTTGATGTTTACTTTTTGTTTTCATGCCTTTCAAAGTCTGAAGTTGTATCAAAGCGAAAAAAAGGATAAAAGGATTGAAAACTCCAAAAAAATACCCGTTTTTTCCCTGACATCTTTCAAAAGGTTCTTACGTTCAGACTTCTAACTAGGAAATTTTGGTTCACTATACTCTGGTATTTACTCTCAGTACTCATGTACTAAGTAGCTGATGGCAGGTTGTAAACAGTGTTTGTTTTGATACGGTCACAGTTAAGATCTTGGACTGTGATATCACATGGAATTGCTCGTGATATGGCAATCAGCCATGCCTCTACACCCTCACCAACTTTCTAACGCTACCGATCTTTGACCTAATGAAAAGGATTTTTAACTAAATTAAACTGTTATTTCTCACAAATATCAGATTTTAACGTCAGATTTCCATGGATAGCCTATAGGGATCACTTTGTGTTTGGTAAATATTTACTCAATTTCGAAATTGTTTTGGCATGGTTTGTTTTGGTTTTGCTTTTCCTCAACACCGGCTTTGTAGCACTGGAACAATATCCATTATTATTCACCATTATCACCATTATTGCTGTAAGCCTTATTTTAAGCGTCGCTGCTGAATTAGCAAATAGTGTATAGGCTTTTAGCAGAAATGTATTCAGTTGTTCGTTACGAAATCATTCGATTCGGTGTTCTGCTCGCTGTGTAATTGTATATGAAACCTGTTCACTAAAAGGAACTCTATTTAGATCGTAAATCGGCGATCAATGCGAACTGCATGATGCTTTAGCTGGCTTCAACATACTGCTATAACAGTTGACAACTATAACGACTTACGGGTCTTTTTCATCGGCATTGTAGAGATGATTCGCTGCTCATTAATATTTATTTCTTTTTGTATTTCTATCCTAATTTCGACCAAATCACGATTGGAGGAGTATTATTGCTATAACAGCGGCATTCTCCAGGTATTTTGTTTATTTTTTCCAATTCTGATTTTTCACTTGTGTTTTTGCCGTGTAAAGCAGCAGTCCTATTCGGAAAACAGTGAGGATGAGGATGAAGTTTTTGGAGTCCATAAGTCCCCTTTTATGGGACGCGCCGCGCATTCAGTTCCATTCGAAATCGCATTGGCGTTTTGAATGTGTATGTGCTCTGTAGAATGACTTGCGGTGGTTAGATGTCATATAAGTCAGGGTATCTACCCTTGTACCAATTAACCGACCTAGAAATTTTGTGCTGGCATTATTTCATACAAGGGGAGGGGGGGGGGGGGGGGGGGGATTTAGTGCCATGATGAGTTTCTTCGATTCTCTCTGCCACTATGTTTACCCTAAGTTTCGGTAGAGCAATTCGGCTATCATTAAAACTTTTTGCACTTGAAACAAACCTAAAATTTTGAAGTGCTGCTGTAATGTTTGCCACGGCAGCATCGTTAATCCATTGTGTTGTACGGCGTTATCACTTGACGGAGTAGGATGTTTACATTTTCAAATGGAAACTACAGAACGGAACACTTCCTCGTGCCTATCGCTTGACTCGAAGCTGACTTGTTTTCAGAGTGCCCCGTGCAGATTGTTCGCTATAGTTTTCGATGCAGGATCAACGGGTACGAGATTGCATTTATACAGATTCCTTCACAATACAGATCGTAATGGAATACCGTTCAAAGTCGAGGAAGAGATATTCCGAGAGGTAAGAATGTATAGTTTTGTAATGATTGCGGTAGTTATTTCATTAATTTGTCTATCTTTCTTGGAAACTAAGTCTTATGCTCACTGCTCGTAGATATTTGAATTATCAGGGCCTCATCTTGAGATGCGCTAGGCATCTGACATTCAGTCACTCGAATTTGTAATTATTGCTCGATCTGGTGAAGCTTCTGTTTACGCTCACTGTTGGTGTGCCACCTGGCCGAGTTTGTTGAACTAGAGTATTACGGTCTTAATCAAATTCTCGGGTAAAGAAGAGTGACGCCATCGAGTGACAGTCTCACTGTCGAAGTTTTTCTCCGTCTGAGATGCCACGAGGAGTGATCTTTCCCCTCGTAAAACTTATGAAACTGAAATAAATTGTCATTATGAAAGGCAGAGGAGTCTTTAGTTTGAAAGTGATGCTACATCAATGGGTAGCATGTTTTAAACTTCCTGATCACCTTCCAAATAGGTTATGGAAAGCGTTGTTACAGTGGAAGGTGGCTAAGTAAGGATTTGGTAGAAAAAATTGGATAACAGTAGAATAACAGTTTTTTTCAAAGTAGGGATGAGTTGTGATTAAACGGTAGGACCACCGAAAATGAGGATTACAAGGTTATGCGTACGGTATTCGTCAAAATCGTACTAGGATCTATATACCATTAGCAAGCAGATGATGATGACGTAGTTTTAACAATTCATATTTTGACTCATGCCTTATGATAAGGGCAGTCATGCTTTTTATTGAAGTTTTTAAGGAAGATGTATTTGAACGAGGCACATCGTTGAATCCCAAAGAAATATTTGATTATTTTTTGGAAACTTTTTTAACTATTTCGGTATTCTTTCTACATTTACCAACTTAATCTTGGCAGTTTCAGGTAAAGCCTGGGCTGTCATCGTTTAGTGGTAATCCAACTGCAGCTGCTGCATCTATTCGAAGCCTTATCGACACAGCTCAAAAACATGTTCCTATTTTTATGTGGGACAAAACGCCAATAACGCTGAAAGCAACAGCTGGTCTCCGTTTACTTCCTGGTGACCTGGCTGACGATATTTTGGATGCAGTAAGTTCATAGCACATTCTCATACCCACCCATAAACTGTTTTTTTTTTCGGAAAGTTTTTTTCTTAAAATCGACTGTTTTGTGAGTATAAAGCCAATCGTATTTGTTCAAGGTGGAGAGCGTAATCACCAACAGTGGATTCTTTGTCGTTCCCGATGCCGTGGGTATTATGAGTGGATCAGATGAGGGAATGTACAGCTGGTTCACGTTGAATCTTCTTTTGAACAAGCTCTACTCGGGTATGATAATTGCGAGTGGTAAATCGTTATGATATTGATGTTCTATACTAGATATTGTTAACAGATGATGCAGTTCATCCATATCATCCCGAGCCTTTCCGGAGCGTTGCTGCCTTCGATTTGGGAGGTGGCTCTACGCAGCTTACGTTTTGGCCGGAAGATAGGCACATGTTCGATTTGTATCCCGAATATGAGAGAGACATAGATTTCTTTGGCTATCGCATGCGATTGTTTACACACAGGTATATTCAATCGCTTTCTGTAGATTTGGGCGTTTTAGGAATTTTTTCTACTTTTAAAAATGTTTTGTTAGTCCTTCTCCTACAATACTTTTACCTGTTCCTTTTCAGTTTCCTAGGAAACGGCTTAGTTGCTGCACGTCTGAATGTGCTGATCGAAAATTCTGGGAGTGAACCCAATGTTGTATCGCAGCTGGATTCACCTTGTATGCCTGCCTCCTTCGAGATTCGAGAATGGGAATACGGACTTAAGAAGTGGGCGATCAGGTATGCGCGGATTTTTTTGAAGCAAGCAAACTATACTGGAAGTTTTTATCTGATTTTATCATTTAAGGATTACTTAGCGCCAGTTTAGAGCTACAGTTAAGCTCCAATGGTCATAGTTTTAATTCTATTTGAATTGATTATTTCGTTGTATCAAAAAACTGTCCCTATGGTTACTATTCAAAATAATTTTCTTGTTACGATAAGCATTTCATGGCTCCGTAAAAGAAGTTTCATGTTCAATTCACCAACGAAAAATAGATTATTTCAACTCGCAATTTAAATTTTCAGTTTGACAAATAATTATAAATATTTTTATTTCCCTTAGCTTATCATTTTACAGGATAGAGGGAAATACTGTTTCAGAGGATCACCAACGTACTCATTTGCCTCATGCTATACTTCTGTTCGTAACTTCATTGACCAAAGTGGAATTATGAAGCTCAAAGGTATTCCAGTCCAATTTAAATGATCTGTGAAAGAATTGGATAAAATCATGAGCTCTTGTACCTTTTCGTGATGCGTACTAGTACTTCAGCTCTTCGCGGAAAGGTCATCTATCTGTTCTCTTACTTTTACGACCGAGGTTTGAATGCAGGTCTTGTCAAAGAGAACCTTGGAGGTGAAGTAAAATTGAAAGACTTCAAAGATGCTGCTCAAAAAGGTGAGTTCTATCTGCTGCTAACTGGGCTTGCTTTCACAATTTTTTTTTCAAATGTGGTGTAATTGCCGATAAAACTTCATCAGCCGATATTTTCATTTTTACATAAATATTTCAGCTTGTTCACGGAAAGCAGAAGAGTTGGGAGGCTTTCATTGGATGCCATGGCAGTGTCACGATTTAACATATATTTATAGTCTTCTCCATGATGGTTATGGATTTGATGATACGCAGCCGCTATTCGTGAGTTCTTTGCTGTCTACTTTAGTACTTTTTCATCTTTTTGTTTTTCGCACTTGTTTTCCATTTTTCATTCCTACTCCTAAATGTAGGGCTTGGACGTTCTTATCAGGATAGCGGGGTTTTCTCAGAGTTGCCCTTCGCAGTAGACATAAAAATTTATTTCGAANTAGAGGATCTGTTTTGCTCAAAAGTATAATCTAATGCTGTTGTGGGACACACTACAGCAACCAGCTGGATTAGATTTTATCGGAAAAATCCTGTAATTTTATCTTCAATTGTAAACGATCGATTTCAGCTAGCAAAGAAGCTCAAAGGAATGGAAGTGGCTTGGGGTCTGGGACTGTCTCACAGTCTCGTTCATGAGTTCCATAAAACGCAAAAGCTGTCAACGGCAGCAGAGCGCGGTAATGTTACGGTTGTGGACCAAATAATGTCATTTATTTATTCTGGAACTAATAATGTCTTGTCGTACTTGAATATCATCTCATAATATAGTTATCGGTACTACTTTGATTGTTTACTGTTATTAACTATTTTTAGTTGTCTTGCCATATCTAGTCCCCCGGTAGTATTAGTAGGCCTTATAATGTTCTATTAGAAGTTAGTGGTAGTATTGGTGGGGCAGCCTTATAGACATATCATCGATTGGAATCTGTGATCTTCACGAATTCCTTTAACTTGTGATTGATTTCACTTAGTCAATTGAATTCCATTACTGAGATACTCGACGGGATTGTTTGTATTACTTTATCAGAATGAGGTAATAAAAAAGCTGCATTATTCAATCGGATAGCTAGTTCGTTCAGACAAAAAGAGAAACAAAAGAAGGAGAAACAACAAATAATACTGCATTTCATTATAGGAATATTGGTCCCTCCTCTAAGAAAAAATTCTACAAAAATTCATAAAAAATCAAGGAAGGAAGGGGAGTTTTGCCATCTCGTTCTACTACCCGTATAGTAATTTTCTATGGTAAATGGTTTTTTTTNNTTTTTTTTTCTTTGTTTCTTAACGAGTCTATCGGCTACCCGAAACGAGATGAGTTTCATGCAGTATACGGTAAAGGGTGTTCGAAAATAATATGACGAGATAATTCAATATAGCGGAAAAAAATCGTAATGGTTCTTCAAATTTCTTACAGTTGTTACTTGTTTTCTGTGAAGATCCTTGGAATTGACGACTCCCTTTGGTGGGCAACTGGGAATTTCAAACAATACGCACACACATATGAGTGTAAATGCATCCTTTGGGCTTACGGTTTACGGCTTCTGGAAGGCGTACAGTGTTTCGTAGAGATTCAGATTATCACCGTAAGTGCTCATCAGTTTTGAGGCGTTTGGCCATTTGCTGTAGTCAGCGCAGTACTTGATACGCATCAACTGATAATTGTGCACTTTCTTTTCGTTCCTCCAGATTGGGCACAACCTGCAAAGTGATTTTTCTCGATTAAATTGAAAAATAGAAGAGAATCTCGATTAAATAGGGGAGTAAAAAAATTAATGTAGAGTTCTGGACTGAGTAAGTAATTATATATATCTATTTAGTTATATAATGGAAAGATATCCTTGTGTCAAAAGGATTCGATGTCAAAAGGATTCGATCTTGTGAAACTAGAGCCATGATCTGACGCGCTTGAGCAATGGATAAGGTAAACCTGACAATGATAGTCTGCTGGAGAAAATCAGGCAGTTTAATAAATGTGACAGTACTATCGAGAAAGTGACAAAAGAAAAGGTAAAAAAGGAGCTGACGTCATTCCTGGGCAGTGAAGAGCTTAAATGGGCGAATTTTCCGGAATCCCTATACAGGATCTGCTTTCATTTTCTGAGATTTCTGGGCGATTTGTCCAAGTTCCATGGGTAGGTGGTTGTGAAAAGTGAAAGAATTTACTGATTCCCATGATTCTCCCTTTCATCACTTTGTATAATGAGAACTGTTCCACTTGGAGGCGTGACTGGATCCGAATGAGACGGAGTCTGTATCACCTTAGGGTCAAGTACGTCACATCTAGCACTTTCAAGGGTTAGGTGAGAATTGAAGATTCAAGTGGGAATTCAAAAAATAAATTGTATTCATCCACACGATAGTGTCGATAAGGCGATCACTCGTGTTAAAGGCACAGTTCACGATAAGCATTGTTACTGATTTCTGCCCGCAGGAATACCCAGTGGCCTCCAAAGGTAATAGGAAGGACCCTCCCGCGCCCAAAACTCCACGGTTAGAGCATAGTGAGAGCCCCGTTCCCGGCTCGCGCGGCCTTCCCGCCCCTCGATCAATATCCCGTCAGATGAGTGTCGAGACGAGGCGATACAGATTGCAGTATTCGTGTCAGAACCCACACACAATCAGCTGATCGCCAAGTGATGAGGCAATGTTTTCCCCATTCTTTTTTCTTTATAATTCTTTTTCATGCTGCGATCCCTTATTTAATCTTCTACCCGTAGAGGCTGAAAAAAGTGGGCTATTTTCGCTGTTACTGGGTTTTTTTTTTGCTAACTTATGCTTATGGCTGAATGGATTTTTGCTTACCGAAGTCAGCTACTCGCACCAAGACCCCCATACACCCACTGACACACAGTATATGTATAGCTCGTTCAAATGCCCCATTCTTCCTCATTTCGCCTTCGCCTTCATCACACTATTTTCGATCTTGTCTTCCATTTTTCATCATAATAATCAGGATTACCCAAAATTATCGTAAACTGTGTCTTCGAGAGAGCATCAGAACAAAGAAATAAAAACTCAAACGAGCCTTGGGTTTTCATAAGAAAAATCGATGAATCACTTCCGTCATTTTCACCAGGAATTAATGCATTCTAGTTTTTCCTAAGAAATTTCAAATGACAACTTCAGTATACAAACGATTATACAATTTTATTACCTGCTTTTTTTATGGAAATCCAACAAACACCTACACGTCCTCTTAAGAACAGTCCGCAGCTTTTCAAATTGTGAAAATTCTCTAACCGTATGGACTTACTCAAATGAACACTCGTACCTGAACTCATCGTTAAGTTGTGGTTGTTCTCGATTGATGCAGTATTGTTGCTGCAACCTATTTCTGGTGCGAATGAGTTTGCCAAGCTTCCGTGCCTGTTCGGTAAGTTTCTGGACAGTCTTCAACGGGAGCTCAGCTCGATTAAGTAGACATTCTTCTACAGGCTCGTACTCATCGTCCTGAATTTCAGAATTTAAGGCTATTATTCAATTCTTTTCCGTGTGATCTCGTCACACTGCCTTCCCCAGGTGAACTTCTGAACGAGTTTGCTTCTCCCGATCCAATGCCAGGAATGAAATGGCTATAAAATCTTTGTGTTCTTATGAGTGGAGCTTTGGGAGATCCCATATTTACTCAGAATGGTAGTTCTCTGGTTCAGCTGGAGCGGTATGTATGTGAGAATCACGTAAAATTGATGACGAATTTGCTTGGGGTTTTTCTTTGGAGAGTGATTTCAGTTGTGATGAAGGGAAAAAACCAAGGGGGCAATTACCAAGAAGTCACGTTCACCCTTAAGTTGTCACAAGTTCCAACTAGCACTCCTGATACTCATTCACCTAAAAACTTTTGACTGACATATTTGATCTAGGCATGGGCGGTGATAGTCCAGCGGCAAAAGGCACACGCTGTACACAGGTGATGATTCAGCTTTTGCACTTGGAAGCATTTCTCCATGTAGGATTGACTCTCGTTGTGATAAGAAGTACACGGCCATGGTTGTGGCCGACCCCTATCAGCCATCGTAAAGGAGCGACCCCTTCCCAACACTTTCTCAATGCGAAATCGTGATGGAAGCATGGCGCATCAAACGGATTACCAACGTTGACACATTTTCCTGCATTTTTTCCATGTCCAGAATTTTTACCACTGTCATTATGCGAATCTCTTTCGGTAGACTGCGACTCGATAAAAAAGTAAACAAACAAATGAACAAAACAAGCCGCTCAGAATATAGTAAGAAATGTTTCCAGACCATCGATTTCCCGACTCGATTTTTTGTAAATACTTAAATAGAATATGAACAGTTGATCAGTATTAGTACTGATTAGTGTGATCGAGCATCTTCTAGATCGGTAGACTGCGACTCGATAAAAAAGTAAACAAACAAATGAACAAAACAAAACAAGCCGCTCAGAATATAGCAAGAAATCTTTCCAGACCATCGATTTTCCGACTCGATTTTTTGCAAATACTTAAATAGAATATGAACAGTTGATCAGTATTAGTACTGATTAGTGTGATCGAGCATCTTCTAGAATGCGCCACACACCTGACTCCCAAGTAAAACCAGAACAGCTTTTGATTGTGTATATTTGAGACACTTCCCCAGTATCACACCTGCCTAGCAGGTGCCCCGATTTCTGTCGGTCACCCGCTTGGAATTCCCATACGTCCATCCGGTGACGGCTATCGGCACCGGTCATAAAGCGAGTACAAGCCCTCACATTACAACGGAAGTATCAGCATAGTCGCGCGTTGGAGCAGCAGCAGGTGACAACGGGACATCCCACAGCCGCCGGCATTTCTTACCACGGCACGATGTTTTCGTCGCTTCGCTTTTTTGTTTGCCGTTTGTCAAAGGCATGTTGATGAAGATCGAAATCAAATCGAAATGTTCAATCGATAAACACATACCCATTGGAATTTGTCCCAAACGTCTATTCAGGTGCTTTTTATGGGATGGAACGGGATGGACTCCCAAAGAGAGAGGTGCGGACGACATGGTGAAAGGAATATCTGGCCATCTCGTTGGTTCATGCCATGCATTCGTGTAGCTTTTTTTATGTGGTCCGTAGTAGCTAGCCAAAGCTTAGATGGTCCCATTCATCCAGATTGATTCCGTGAGTTGAGCTGACCTCATATGGGGAACATAACTCTTCATTCGTTTCCTAATAGCTATCCCCGGAACCATCCCTCTCCCCCAACCTCCCCCTCTCCCCAGTGTAGATCTAATGGCATTGAAGGCGTAGGGAGTGGCCGAACCTATTTCTCTAGGAGTTTCTAGCTGTACGTGC